TCAAGAGACTTTTGCATCGATGACAGAGTCTAACGAAATGATAATAGCTAAAAGGATGTCGAATGATGAAGTAGAATCATATGTGCTGCAAAACTTGAATTATCACAAAATAAAAATCTATAATACGACAATACTGTTTCTTTGTTGCATCAAACTATTGTCTATTTTGATAACCTGAATATTGATATATACTATTAATGTGACTATCACAATATTCATCCTTTGTAAACCAAATGTATCACCATGAACATCAACATCAAATATATTTTCATTTTTTCAGCTATCCACGATATAATGATGTGATTTTGATCTAAAATAAATGTAAACAATTACAAAAAAAGTAAAAGCGAAGTAGCCTCTTGTACTGGACAACATATGTTTTCGAAGAACATCGCAAAGGAAAAAGTATAGATATCCTCATATTACAATTAATAATAAATAACAAAATGGAAATAAAAAAAAGCAGATCATTTATCGAATATTAAAAACTGACCATTGAACTTTTCATATATATATATATATTTCTAATGTAAAGGAATAGCAGGAAATCGAGAGGACAAATCTGAATATGACAACATAAAAAATGTAAATAGAATATTAAACATGATGTACTGTAAACTTTTCACCATAAATTTAAAAGAAAACATATTTGTAAAAAATTTGTATCGAACAATAAAATATCTTATAATAAGTAGTGTCATTCGAAAACAATTTACATCCACTTTTATACCAAAAAATTAATTATAATGCTATATTTAAATTTGAAGAGAGCGAAAATAAAATTAATTTTATTAATTTATTAACGAACTGTCAAATTGAGAATCTTTAGAGAGCATTCCAACAAGATATATTCATATTTGTATATGCAGTTTTTCAAAGCATACTGATTTATATTAATTTCAAAGACCAATGCTCATTGATTTAACAATTGACACAGAGAGAAAATTTTACAACAAGGACAAACAATGATGACTTTCAATTATAACTAAAGAAAATGCTTGTCTGAAAATTGCATGTTCTTCATCTTCGAGTTGTAATACAGATTCCAAAAAATTCGTATTCTTGAAAAAAACGATTGTTTTAGATTTTGTAAATTATATAATATTAATTTGAAAATTTCAAATTATTATTTTGTTTTACTTGGTTTGATATATGTTCTCAAATATTATTTAATTTATTGAACAATAAAATAATGCTCTCATCTTTTCCAATTTTCATAATTGTTCTTTCAATACTATCTGTATCATGTTTATTTGTAATTATTTCTTTTTAAATCTCGCATGTTTTCAATACAATATCTCAATTACTTCAATTTCAATTCTTTTTCAAATAAACTAACATAATATTTTATTTTCTTTTTAGAAATAAAAGAATTAAATATAAATTTTGAATAAATTTAAGAAATATTAGTAAATTATATAGTCAATATATGGATTATTGTTTTTTGTTTTTTGTTTTTCTATTAGCTTGATTAAAACTGAATACATTATTTGTTAAACATGATTGTAGGACTATGAACGTTGTAATCGGACTTCGTCACCATTTTTTGTTTGAATAACTAAAACTTCTCCACTTTTAACTTGCAAGTTTTGAATATTAGACATTAAGTCACCAATTATATTTTCTTTTTCCATTTTTTCTGGTGGTCCCATCATCATTGTTGCTCCAACGGCTCCAACAAGTGTCCATTGATTACTTGTGGGATCATGCTGTAAAGAACAAAACATACCATTAACTACGCGTGTATTGAGACGATACATATTTGGTGTTTGATCATCAGAACTGATATCAAAGTAATAGCCAGTACATTCAGGATGTGATGAAAAATCAACAATTTTCCAATGACCTACAACTTGTGATGCCATGTCAATATAATTTATCGAAATAAATCTAAAGTAATACAAAAAAGAAAACTAGAAAAAAGAAAAAGCATCGTTATCGACAAACATTAAATATGCATTTTTATACTTCAGTGCTTTTTATTAGTCGTTATTTACGAAGAAAAAATAATGTACCTCTTTTTATAACCAGCTGTGAACAAGCGAAAAAATAAGGAGAAAAGAAAAAAGACTAAAATGTCGATTTTTTTCATATTATTTTTTGTTTCAAGGCAGTCATTATTCATACACAATTTAGTCTAATGTATTGATCGTAATCATCCACCAGGTACACTAAAAATATGCATTCAGTCTAACAGAATGACAAAATAGAAAAAATGTGATATCAATATGCAAAATCAAATCAATTATAGGTGAATAAAAGCGTTCGAAATAATTATTCGCCATATTCTTATATCGAAAGATTGTGTTTTATGTAAGAAAACGAAAAGTTTAGTTTATGCACAAATACACTGGAAATAGTCATGTAACTGAAATAACCACCTATCAATAGCAGAAAAAAGAAAGAAGCTTGACAGTAAAAATTTAAAAAGTATATTTTTAATTTATTCCACTGTTCTTAATAAATACTAAAAAAATGAAACGCTTGAAGAAATTTTATTTAATATCTGAAAAATAATACTCTAACTTTAATATATAAAATTAAACTGAACTATCAAATATAAATAAACATGATTCATAAATCATACGTCAATTTGAAAAGTATTGTATCTATTCAGTTAAAAGAAAAACAAATCTATTTAAAAATATTATAAATATAATTTACTCACATCCCCGACTATCGCTAGGTAAATAATTTCCATAAAGGTTCCTATCTTTCCATCATGATATATGAGATTGTGTGCTCTAACTGCATTAATTTTATTTTTGACATATATTCATAGTTTTACATACTTTCAAGTGACCGAAAATATTTCATCTATTATTAAAATAATATGGGATCTTCTGATTGATCATCAAAAAACATTTATTAAGTGGAACACAAGCCATATACTTTGAACGATTTCTTTTTTTTGGTTTTCCTACAATCGTATAATCTCATAATCAATCGATATAGTAAAGACTGTGCCAATAGTTCTAAAACAATCTTTTACAACTGACACCTATCGAATTCGCCGAAGATTATCGATCATTTTTAGAATTCAAAAATTGTCAGTTAGCTAGTGCAACATCTTTACATTTGTATAATTACTCATGTTGTAATCAATTTAGTGTATTTTATCAGTACTTTCTTTTTTCAAATAAATGTAGGCATAACATTGAACTTGATTTCTTTAGAATGAAGAAAAAAGTTTCTTTGAAAGTTGCATCAATCTACAAATTCTTAGTAACTTTTACTTGGCTCTGAAAAGGTAGTTAATTATCGAAAGTAGGCATTCGCTCTCTTTTCTCTCACGTTCACACTATTCCTCCTCATCGACTGCGATGGACAGACTTCAAGGAAATATTAGAGATAATACATAATTAGTATATGATTAGAGCATATATGGAGTATTATTCTGTTGGAGCTCCATAATGTAAAGTAAATCATGATGAAGAAATGTACCCAAAATATGCACAAAAATAAGAACAGTTTTTAAAAGTTTGGCAAGAGCGGCTACATTGTGTTTCACATTTTTAATCGCGCAAAGGACTGTACTAACAGCTTTTTAGTCTCGAACTCGGTTAAATTTGGTTTTGGTTCTACTCCCAATCTTACATGAGGAATAGGATCTTCTTTTCATCACGTGAACACATATACATATTCATAGAATATGTTTAAAGAAATCTCGAAAATTATCGAAATCTTCTGGTAATTCTTTATAAGTTGCTCATTTTTATTTTGATGAATTACTTTGGTACGATAGAAATTTTCACTCTTGGAGAAATCTGAATAAACCTCGAACATAAAGGGTGTGGGTGTGGATGTGCGTGTGCTAGTGCGTATGGGTGTGGAAGGGTGTAGGTGTGGATATCTTCTCATCACACACATTCACACCCACACGTACTCGCACACCCACATTCACACCCCACCCACACTTCGATCTATTTCTTTCTTAATTATTAAGCATTAAAAATATAGAATTATTCTAGAAATCTAGTGTCATGTAAATAGTATTTGATTTTCTTTTTTGTTGTTGTTGTTTGTTTATTGACTTCAACATTCCAACTTTATGTGTTTTTTCTTTTGTGAATTTGTTATTCTCTTCCACTTTCAAATATGTAGATAATTGAATGAATGGTTTATTTAATATTTTTTTTTTATCAAAAATTAGCGTGATGATATAAGTTTGGGATATTTCTCTTTCTTGCATGTATAAACTATTTCATTATATCAAACAATTGAAATAGTGTGTCTTTTTTTTGTTCAGATGCTGAAATTACACGAAAAAAAATTGTATTTCTTTTTGGGTTTTTTTTCGGTTGATTATTACTCTTTCTCTAACTGGTATATGTTTGTTTTCTTTTTTTTTTTCGCTACTAATGTATTTTTTTGGTTCGTATTGCCCTTGTTATAATAAATATAATAGATATTTTCTATACAAGGATTCAACAAATGTCTATGTATTAACGTCTTAAAAACTGATTAGAATCAAATTACATATAATAATACCAACAAGGTCATATTGTTTTTGTTGAATAAAATTTCTATTATTAAAAGATCAAAAGTCAAACTGAAATAGATTGTCTATTACTTATGATTTATAATTATAAAGATATGCTATTCTTTATCATTTATTGTAGTACGGTAAATGACAAACAGTATCAACATTAATTGTCCTAGAAGTCATAAAAAACCAATTTCTACATTTTGTAAGACTCTCAAGGTGAAATGTACCGAAAAGTAGAAGATAATTTTAATAAAAATTTTCAAAAAACTAGTGAATAAATATTAAACCTTTATCATTATTAAAAAGAAGATTTTATATTTTTGTTTAGTCTTCTGTGAAATCAATAATAATTTCCTTTTTCCGATTAGCGATAATGTGTGACATCTAGGAAATATAAGATCTGATGTAGATTCGATAATTAATCGACATACATTCTTCATCTTCTCTTCTGTTCTATCTACTAAACCTTGAACTATCCTCTTTCGGTGTTAGTACGATGAATCATGAGTTAATCACGCCGTAAACATATTCATTTGAATAACAAAAAAACACCAACTGTTTAATTAAAATAGACCTCTTCCCTGTCAATAATCAACAATTGTTATTATTCCCACGGTTCTTTTCTTCTTTTGCAATGGCAAAAAATCTGTATGGTTTTATTCTTTTGTGATTTATTATCGTTACTTTTTTTTTATGAGTAAATCAATGAAAGAAAGAATTTTATTCTATCATAGTTGGTGGTAATATTTACTGTTTTATTATTTGTCAACAAATTACATTATATATAAAACTTTTGTTTTTCTTTATGAATTATTTATAATAAAATAACAAGACGAAAACAAAAGAAATCAAAAATCATGATTCGTTGAGTTATCTATGATGTTGAATTTCCTGTACTTGTTAAAGAAAAATTAACTCCATTTGATAGTGTTCTTGTTACTGGTTCATGTGAACAATTAGGTGAATGGTTACCAAATCGTTGTATACCATTAAATCATTCGGATAAAACAGATCAAGGTGAAATATGATCAACTAATATTAAAATTTATGGACCACAAAAAATTTTTTATCGATATTTAATTGCACAAATTGTACGATTTGATGATGATTTAAATTTAATTGTTAAAAAATGTAAGTTTATTAAATAAAAACAAAAATTTATTTTATATTAAGATTGTTGTTGTTTGGTTTTTCTTTATATAGGGGAAACATTTAAACAAGCACGTCAATTATCACTTAATCATTGCATGAATGAATCCAATGATGGTACATCATCAATTGTTAATTCAACAACAGTTGATTATGAATTACCTGATGAATTTCCAGCTATATTTGGTTGTTATAAAGGTGTATGTCGTACTGATATTGGTTGGTTAACAGGTCAAAGTGAAATTCAACTTCGTTTTCATTCAAATGCTTTACAAATTTGGTCATCAAAATTACGTAACAATAAAATATCATTCAAAGTTTCACTCATAGGTATATTATCCTTTTTTTGTTTTAAATTCTACTAAAAATTTCATTTTAGATTTAAATTATCAACAAGAAAATCAAGAAATATCATCTGATTCATCAGGTCAAATATTTACACCAACATCAAAAGTCTTTATTCAAGCTGCTTTATTACGTTTATCAGGTTGTGAAGCTAATATTCAAAGTGATTATGGTGCTGTTATTGAAAAAGATGATTATATGATTGTTAAAATTCAAACATTTGAACCAGAAAATATTGCATATCATATTGATTTTTATCTTGTTGATGAAACAACACCATTACGAAAACATATTGGTTTTTCATGTTTTACCAATACATTCAAATCTTGAATTAGCAGATAATAAACATTTTCATCGTACTGTACCAATTATTGGACTTAAACATAATTCGTTCGTATTGATTGATGGTTTTTGTAGGAAAAAAAACTTTTACGTTTGATTTAGTATTGGACGATTAAAAGTTGATGTTTTATTAATAACATCATTAGAAGGTGTTCAACAAAACTTTCTTGTTTCAACATCAAAATATTGGCGTCAAGGTTGACGACCAGTTAATGTTGGTCATCGAGGTTTAGGTATGAATATAAAAAAAAAAAGAAACAACAAATCAACAACTTTTGTTATAGGTAAAACAAATACTGAACATATCCCATCGAAACATCAATCATTGTCATCAAATGATTTAAGAGGGGGGGGGGGGGGGGGGTTATAAAAAATTTTTCTCTTAGGGTGGTCCTTTTGCGCTGAAATTTTCAGGGATGAGTGATCCTGGAGAGATACACTTCCGGTAAAAATTTCAGCTCGATTGGTCGTACTAGACCGGAGTTCCAGCTGATCCATAGGTCATTTTTGGCCTTCAGGAGAATCGACAAAATTTCGTCGTCAGATGAGGTAGAGAGCTCGGGCTGGTTTCAAATTAAACCTGATGTCAGTACGCAACTTTTATCTGAACAAAATTTTTATATTCCTTATTGTTCATTTTTTATGAGCATTTTAGTGCGAGGGTCTTAAAATTAGCATAAAAAAATGGTAGTCCAACGACAGTAAATTCCACTTTTCTCAGCCCAGGAACCAACTTTCAAAAATGCGTTCGGACAAAAGTTTACTCTGAACAAGATCTTTAAAACAAAAAAAAAATATTGGTAATAGCTCGAAAAATGAGGGAAGAGTTCCAATTTTTCTGACTGGAAATCATGTTCTGAGAAAAACCTTAAAGAAGTTTTAGAAGTGATTTTTTTCGGTCAAATTCAAAAAAATTCATATTAAATTCCCAGTGAAAAATATTTCTAAAAATAACGGAAGAGAACGCATTCATAAAAATGTAGAGACTTGTCTTTTACATGAAGAATGCGTTCTATAGGTTTGCGAACGTTTTCACAAACAAAAAGAAAAGTTCTGAATCTAAAGCAATGCATTCTTTACTGTTCCACATTAGTACGGAATGCTTTCTTCTCAGTTCAAAAATCGTTCTCTACCTGGATAGAAAGCATTCTGAACCATTCCATGAACCAATAGAACGTGTGTCTGCCCATTCTATTTCGAAACAGTCAAGATAGGATTCCATCGAAATGAGACCGCTTTTTTTAACATTCTCTTGAGAAACACCTGAGAATGGATTCTTTTGACTGATGAACGCTTTCATCTGAATTTAACGTCACTTTTGATTCAAAAATGACAGCTCTTAAGTACGGCACCCTGAAACTGATGCCAAAAATGGTGGAACCTTCAATTAGTCATACTTTACAACTGGCAGTTCTGATTCCAAAAATTTTTTTTTAAATAACAGTTTGAGCTACGAAAAATTAGAGCACGCCATTGGATAGAGCTCGTCGAGTTGCACTAGAATCGATCTTTCAAAAAATTATGTCCGAACTTCTCCTCGAGAACTCCTATAGTGAATCTATATTCAGGCAATGACAATCAAGAACGTGTTCCACAAAGAGTTAGCTTTTATTGAGAAAAGAAAACGTTCCAAAAAAGCTGGAACAGTTAAGAACGCATTCCAAAAACCATGGAATGTGTTCTTAATGGTTCCATTTTGGAACACTTCCCACTTTTGTTGGAACGTTTTCTTTTCTTAAAAAAACGGCTTTTAATTTTACGGAACGCGTTCTTTCCCGTTCTTTGAAGCAAATATTTTTCACTGGGAAATGACATATTTTCAATAAATTTTCTAAAACTGTTTTAAGGCGCGTTAAAGATGCAGTAAAACTAACGCCATCTGACATGCGGGTTAATATCAAAATGTTCTATTCAATGATAATTGAAGTAGTAACGGAGTTTTTCCAAAACTGAAAAACTTTAAAAAACCACGAAAACTTCTCGGAAAATATGGTAGGGAAGTTAAAATCTGATCTGATAAGTCTTTGAAAAATGTATCATTTTCCAAAAATCTATATATATTCTGAAAGAGGAAGCTTCGCTCTATCTTCCTGTGGTAAAAACTTAATTTCGATATTGTTTGAAAAAAATCGATTTTCTGAGGGGGCCTCCCTTAAATAAAAAACATACAAATGATTCAATAACACCATCATTTCCATCAGCGACACGACCTGTTCAAACAAAATTTGTTAGTGAAAATACATTAGCTTCATTTAAAGGTGCATTTCAACTTGGTTTTGATTTTGTTGAATTTGATATACAATTATCAAAAGATAAAATTCCTATTGTTTATCATGATTTTCAAGTTGCTATTACACTTAAACGTAAAAGACAACAAACCGAATTATTTATTGTACCAGTTAAAGATTTAACATTACCACAATTATAATCATTAAAAATTTATCATGCAAGTAAAACAGATGTATCAAAAGTTGATGAAGAATTAGATGATGATGAACAAACAAATACAATTAATAATAATAATAATAATTTAACATCAACAACAACAATATATACATCATCAATAAATATAGATAATGATCAAATGTCAACAACAGTAAATCAATTAAAACAACAACAACATGATGAAAAAACAATTTCGTTTTTTATTTCCAACATTAGAAGAACTTTTTGAAACACTTAATTCTCATCTTGGATTTAATGTTGAAATAAAATATGCTATGGAATATCGACATGGTGGAAGTGAACAAAATCATTATTTTGAACGAAATGAATATATTGATTGTATTCTTCAATGTCTTATTAATCATGGTAAATAGAAAACAAATCGATATTTTCTTTCTTTTAATTTGTCGTTTTTTTTTGTTCTAGCTGGTAAACGTGTTATTATTCTATCAACATTTGATCCTGATTGTGCATCAATGCTTCGTCTTAAACAAACATTATTTCCCGTTTTATTTTTAACACAAGGTGAAAAAGGTGATTGGCCACAATTTTTAGATGTTCGAACATGGTCGATTAATATTGGATTATATCTTGTTATTACCGAACATTTATCAGGTTTAGCTGCACCAGTACTTGATATTCTTTCAAATAAAGAATTTGTTAAACAAGTTAAAGATAATGGAAAATTATTATTTATTTGGGGTGATGAAGCAAGTAAGAATTTTCTTTCGTAGAAATTTTTTTTTTTAATTCTTTATTTTTTATTTTAATTAAGGTGATAAAGAAGTATCAAAATGTTTATTAGAATTACGTATTGATAGTTTAATATTTGATCATGTTGCTGAACTTAAAGATGAACATTCTACAACAGAAAATCTCTTTATTTGTAAATAATACTATTAAATGAAAAATAAATATTTACAATAAATTTTTGTTTTCTTGATTTTAGCGGAAGAATGTGAAGAATTAGAAGTACTTAATAATTTTCGTCAAAAACAACTTGAATTACAACATCATCAATTATTACAAGAACTTGAACGATTAAAAACAGCACGAGAAAAAACAAATTCACCAATACTATCACCAACAAATCAAATATCTAAAACACCTACAAATTTCGGACAAGATCAATTATCGATAATAGATACAAATTCTAAACATTTCATGTGACTAGAAAATATTAGTGAATATGCAAATATATTTCTTCTCATTATTCTTTATATTTTTTGTGTGATAATCTCATTTTTTTTTGTCTTCTTTGTTCCATTTCTAAAGTCTTCATTTAATCCTATATTTTTTTTAAATAGAAAAAAACCTCATCAATAACATCCTATAGTGTGATTAGCTATTAATAAAATAAATATATAGAATAAAACTTCGGTGAAATAGAGAAGAGATTTGAAAAGAAAATTTTTCGGTATTTTATTATAGATTATAATATCAATCATAGTGCGTATTATTAATAGTTTATTAGGGTTTTTAACTCGACCGTATATTTATATCGAAAAAAATATTCTTATTAAATTTCAATCTAGTTTACCAACACATTTTGATGAAAAATCTTGGTATATTCTATTTGGTTTTATGACATTTATTATTGTCTATATACTTAGTCGATGTATAACATCACAAGATGTCGATGATGATCCAATTTATCAACGTGCACGATTATATTCAATGCAAAAACAACATCGAAAAGTGACTTAAACAACAATAATATATTTACAATTTTGGTTTTTCTTTTTGTTTTCTATAATTATTTTAAAAAGATCTAGTCAATATTAAATACTTCTCAATCATTGATATAAAAACCTAATAAAAATCAAATACATAATATTAATTGTAATTCACAGTTTCGTAATCCTCATGACTCCGAGAGAATCGAGCATCATTAACGATCAAATCAATCGAAAAAAAAAAATGTTATTGATTTCTAATCCAAGCAGAAACATATTATGTTTGGACTTGAAAAAAAATTAAGGTCGATTGTCGATTTACTTTCGGACCTGCGAAACCGAAATTTCGCATCCTAATGCTTATGGCTCATGAGGAAGGAGTACAATGGTAAAGTCCGAAAGCGCGGCTCGACCGATTTACATACATCATTTACCTGTATTTATGTTAGTTGATGGTACATGTTGTGCAATTATTTTTTTTTTCATTCTGTTTTATATTTTGTCTCACGAACAATTTCGCAATCGTCAAATCGAAGAAAGAAAAAAACATATGAGTAGGAAAAAAAATACATCATTATTCAATAATAAATCAATGATTTATGAACTTTATTATTTTTTGTCTTTAACAATTATTATTATTGTTTAGTTTTACAAAGAAAAGGCGCACATATTAAGTAAATAAATGAATGCTTGCTGCCGATACTCATTCTCGATTGTATTGTGTTCATTATGTACCATCAAATATTGATTGTCCAGATTGTCGTTTAACTGAAAAAGACTATATAAATCGACCACTCTATGCTCCTCTATATGTTCCTCTACCGAATTTATCTACTGTACTTGATAATTCACAGCTCAAATTACCTAATACATTTTATGTACCATTCAATGAGAAAAATAATAATTTTACCAGATCTTTACTATCAGATGATTGTGTCGAAATAAAGACAAAGAATGGCATTGTTCGAATACCTCGATCAACACTTGTTCATCGATCTCGTTTGAATGAATCTCCTACATATAATAATCAATTGTCAATGAAAAGTTCTGCTTGTAATTCACAACAAGCATTTCCTGATGATTTTCAAAAACATTCACATCGTTTTACACGTAGTTTTAGTTGGAAAACTAAACCAGAAGAATCACCATTTTCATAAATGCAACCATTACCAAAACTTATTAAACGACCGGCTTATGTAGAAATGTGTTGTAAAAGTTCGATAAATAATAAGATTGACTTTTATATTATTATTAACTACGAAGTATTTTAGATATTTGTTGGCCAACTCATCAACTTTGTTTGTGATGTGGTCGAAATACTGCTGAAAGTTGTCGAAAATGGTCGAAATCAACAGGAGAATATGATTATATCGATGCATGTTGGTCATCATATGCATTATGTTCAGATGATGCATACAAAACACTTAATACACCCATTGTTTATAATAAGAAAATTATTGATCCTGAAGTTCTATTACCACTTGATGCTGAATTACTCTATTATTCAATACAATCAGCAAAACGTCAACAAGAAAAACAACAAAAATATTCATCAGAATCTATATCTGTTCAACAACAGCCACAAATAATAGAAAATCAGCAAGAAAATACAGTACCATTTGTTTCTGGCAAGAAAGATATACCAGCTCAAGTGAAAACTACAGTAGATAAATCAGAAAGACTACTAAAAGTCAAGTCTTCAAAACGTGTCAAAGCCAACAAAATCGTCACAATCCATACGAAAGAAGACAAAGAAGAATAATAGAAAAAAAACCTACTAAAAAGTCTAGTCGATCACGAAGTCGTTCTAGACGAAAATCACAATCGAAAACATAATCTGTTTATTATATATTCAATGAACAAAATTTGTGGTTTTATTTTTGTAAATTTCCTTCGCAAAGTTATCTTAGACAGGTATGTACTTGAAATGATTGTATGATATCTTTACTTGTTGAATTTGTAATAAATTGAAAATTTATATTCTTGTTTATAATTTCAATAAACAAAGTAGACAGCGAGATATGCACATATCTACGGTGATTACTATTGGTCTTTTGTATGATATGTGAAAATAAGTGATACACATACTTTTCGTTTCTTTTTTGTATACTATAGAAAAGTAAATAAATACAATCTTGATAACAATAATATATCACATGGTAATAATCAAACATTTGTTGTTATTCTTCTTTTTTTAGATTAGAAATCGTTTTATTTTATCGATAACAATAACATGTCGAAAGAACTTATCAATGTTGAACTTGTTGGTATTCCATTTTCTACATTTACTCGAACGATTCGTTTAGGACTTGAAGAAAAATCTATTCCATACAAATTAATCTTTGCACTACCACATACAGATATAGCAAATAAATATAATCCATTTGAACGTATACCTAGTTTCAATTTTGAATATGATGGTACAAAACAAACATTAATTGAAAGTGCAGCTATTACCAATTTTATTGATGCTATTTGGCCTGAAACTCCTCTTCGACCATCTCGTATTTCATCGGATTTAAATGATATTTTTACAAATGCTCATATTGATGACCCTAGAGAAAGTACTGAGTTCAGGGTACCCATGTACTGAGAAAGCTCTAGCAGGGTACCCAATATGGGTACTTTGAAAATTCTCAGTAATTTTACTGATGTATGTACTGTTTGGGGTACCCGTAAAAGTACATTCACTGAATAAGTACCTGCATGGATACACAAGTCTGTAACTTTACTGAGGAAATCTCGACAGGGTATCCTAAATTTTTCGCGTTCTGTGTGGCGACTATTCATTCACCGTTTTCTTTTTTACGTACGGCTCTATATAAACAACTCGACAAATCATAAGAAAATAATCAATTTTCATACTAGTTTTTTCTAAATTATTTCTTGACTATTTCTTAGTCGAGGAAATGCCGAGCTTGGTCGCAAATTAAGATCGGACTACCCTGAAGTGGTCTACGACCAACTCAAGTTGAGTCGGATCCCGACATTGTTTCTGATAAGTTTTTGGAATTGAAAAAATTAAATTGAATAAAGTAAAAAAAATCTGGTAAATTATCTCAAGAAAAAGAAAAAATTTTAAAAAGTCAAAGATCAGGTTCGATCCTGAACATACTGAAAATTTGGTAACAGGGTACTTAGAAATACTATACAATGGTACCCAATTCAGTACTTGATCAGTACCTTTAGGTACCCAATTACTGTGCATTTTCCAGCAGGGTACTTGCCAAAGTACCACTTAGGTACCTGCAAGTACTTTGGTACCCAAAAGTTCCTGTGACATACTGGTATCAGGGTACTTTTTTGGGTACCCTTAACTCAGTATATTCTCTAGGGGAACTTATTTCAATGGCTTCTAATTATGTTTTTAACAGTGTTGAACCACCAGTTATTAAAGCTCGGCTCAAATTTGAAAAAGATCAAAAACAAGAAAATGAAATTGCTTCTCTACTTACTGATTCTGTACAGCAACTTCATCAAATTCTTACTAAACTTGAACAATATTCTGCACTTAAAGACAACAAACAATTTCTTGCTGGTGATAATATAACATGGGCAGATTTTTTTTGCTATCCACCTTTAGCTGATCTTCGTGCTATTAATGAAGGAAAATGTATTCAAGGAGAATCGGCACAATTTACCAAATTAGCTGCATGGATGAATCGAATGGAAACTATAGAAAGTGTAAAGAAAACAATGAAAGATACTTTACAAGATGGTTGGAGACCACCATTTCTAAGACTTTAATTAATGATACATTTTTTTTATTCATAAAGTGTATTAAATTGTCAACTTTGTTTTTTCATCATAGATAAGGACAGAGCAGAAAAAAATATAATCTATTAGAAATCTAATATACTTGTTGAAGATTATACAAAGTAAGAAAGAAGAATCATGGATTCAGTCCACGATGAAATCGTATTGAAAGCCTTGATCATATTCCCTTGAGAATTTCATCATTGTTTATCATGCTTGTATTATCATAAGTTTAAAAAATAAAATTTTACACAAACATAAATTTACGAAGTTTTTACAAGCTTTTTTTTCTACGAAAATAATTCACATTTATTTTAAAAAAAATTAATAATTTAAATATCTATCTAATTTTTCATTTAACATTATCATCATATTTAGTAATAAAAACAACTTATATACATAGTTATCAATAAAGTAGTAACAGTAATTATTAATGATGAATATAAATTTTTTTGTGCAATATTACAACCATCAAATGCACCAAGTGACATAGAACCTTGTAGACGAATAGAGCCAGTCCAACGTTGAAAACCTTTTAATCAAAAATTGCCTGATGTTTCTAATGATTTTGTTGATTCCATAATATTATCAACAACACATGTACGATAATAAATAACAGTATTTAAATAAGATGCATTAGCATTACCATCAATACTTAATATACGATCACTAATTTTTACACAGAATCGAGCCGGAAATGTTCCATTCTTGCCCACAGATGTTGCCTGAATAAATTCAAGATTCTTATGCTATTCATTTGAAAAGTAAATTAGTTTTTGTACTCTCAAGTGCCCTATGCCCCCATCATTTATAACTAACTCTAGTATTGGTAGTTAAATTATTCAATTTGTGTGCTCGAGGGAAAAAAACTAAACAGATAGAAAATAATTACTTTTGACATAAAATCGACAAGGTTTTTTTCTTTTATATATATGAAAAATTATTTTTCTTTAAACAACAAAAAGAATCATCAAATCTACCTGACAATTAATGTGAATTGGATTAATTAATGATGAAAATGGATCTCGACAACCATCATTTTCTGTATTATTTGTCATACATTTATAACATGCTAAACCTTGATTAGATATCGGTTCAGTTAAAACAGAAAAATATAATATCAATGCACTAAATTGTTCCCAATACTGGATATTTGATAGCATTGTATTATAATCGAAACAAAACTTCTATATTAACATGCAAGAAAAAATCAAATTCGATCAAAAAATTTTCCATATGAATAAATAACAATACTTACCTGTCTCTTCCATTTCTTGCTCAGTCGTTTACTGGAACGTTTTGTATGGTACTAAGTGATGATAAACTTTTTTTTTGAAAACTAACAGCAGTTGCGTTTCCTTTTTCCCTTGCGCCCATGTAACCATGAAACGCTTTTTTGACGCGTTTAAACGCGTCTCACAATTGAAACTGCCTCCAAACGCACTGGAATGCGTTCATCATAGGGGTGTTTGAACGCGTTGCAAAGTTTTGCATGCGTTTAGACGCGTTTCGCGATTAGGATGCATCAAAACTAATATCCATTTCAAAATAAAAGAGCACTGAGTATTTTTTGAATAACTTTTGATAGAAAAGAGATAGACAGCTGCGGTTTTCACCATTCGAAAGAGCGATGTCTGGGCCATTGATCGGTATAAAACTCATAAAGACAAAAGACGTTTTTTTATAGGCATCTTCTGATCAACACATTTTCCTTTGCGTATTTTCATCAATTTTTACAAAAATCTCAA